CAGTATCAATATAAACTCTGTCAAAAAAGAAACGCAACCCCTGTATTTTAGAGATTTTGATCTGAAGTTTTAAGTCGACACAGCATTTTTATTATTTAAGACAGAAGTCTGAAATTTGGCAGAATAATAACCAAGATGGGCATGTTTAAAATTGTCATTTCAAAAGTCATCTCACAGACACCAGTTTGTCACCAGGGGGGCGTCTTTCTCAGTATCTCGTATGAGCACCACGAGCTGCAATCACTGCACGGCATCTCCTTGGACAAGAACGGATAAGACGCCGGATTCTTTCCTGGGGAATGGCTCTCCACTCCTCCTGCAGTGCAACGCCGAGCTGTTGCAGCGTCTGTGGCGGCAGCTGACGTTGACGTACGCGTCGACCCAGAGTATCCCACAGGTGTTCAATAGGGTTGAGGTCTGGTGATTTAGAGGGCTATGGCAAGACATTGACGTTGGAATTCTGCAGAAAGTTCATTGTTGCACGTGCAGTATGAGGCCGGGCGTTGTCTGGTTGAAAATCTGTGTCTGTTGGTCAATAATCGGGAGAAGGTGAGGCTGTAATACGTGGTTGATGTAACGTTGGGCTGTCAGGTTCCTTCAACGATCACCAAGTCTGATTTCTGGTTGTATGAGATGGATCCCCAAACCATAACGCTTTCTCCGCCAAATCTGTCCCCTGTCGGACGCAGATGGGCGCAAAACGTTCATGACGTCTCCTATATACACACGTTTTTTCCGTCGTGATGTTGCAAAAAGAAAACGGATTCATCAGAAACCAGATGCGCCTCCAGTTTTGTAAAGTCCATATCCTTACGTTGTTGCACCACCTGAGTCGTCGGCGGAGATGTAGGGGGCGTAGTACAGGTCCAACAACTGGTCTACAGGCACGTAAACCCGCTTCTTTCAGACGGTTCCTAATCGTTTGAGCTGACACTCTCCTCAAACCTGGTATTTGTGTGGCAGTCACGGTTGGTAGGGCATGCCGATTACGCAGTTGATGGACCCGGATGTACCGATCTTGAAGGGGGGTCGTGATTCTTGGTCTTCCACTTCTCGGGCGATCGTTGGCCAAATTGACGTTGTTGTAGCGGCTCCAAAGTCGGGATATCGTTGTTTTGTGAACATTTAGGTGCCGAGCAACAGTTCCAAAACTTTCTCCGGCTTGAACACGACCAATGGCGATATTTCGGTCGGCAGCACTCAATCGTGGCATTTTTAACACAGCTTTTCGGCGACAAATGAATGAATATAATACGAAAGCACATGGGCTTTTATACACCCCTACATTAACTGCCATTTTCATGATTTGCATGTGTTTTTTTTGTGCGAAGTCACCATGAGGGTCATTTCATGCGTTGTGACGGAATAAGCAATAAAATACACTTATGCGTACAAATGCAGTTGTTTGGATGGTAATCTTCATTAATTACGTGTATAATTTCAATACATTCGAATAAAATTTAGTTTGGAAGCAATAACTTCATTCAAACGAATTTTTCATATCTGAGGACAGGGGTTGCGTTTCTTTTTTGACAGAGTTTACTTCATGTACAAATTTGAGCGAAATAAGCATTTGTCATTTGTGAACAGTAAAGCACTAATGGGAATTATAATAATTATTCAAACAGTATCAATGCACTTCATGTTACAAACTTGAAAAGATAACAAATAATACTGGATCTCCACCGGATTAATCATGGACACTCTATTTCAACTTTAATAAACGAGATGCCGTATCTGTAAATTGCATGAGGGGGAGGTCACCAGTGGCCAGACGGTGCTTCAGCTGCTGGAGACGAAACTAAAAAAAAAGTACTGTCGGAAATGATAGAAAAATGCTTTTTAACCTTAATACTTTGATAAAGGTGATAAATGTACTATGTTGTCAATATATCAAGTCGCCTATAGTGTACTTAATTTTTATTTCAATCGATTTCACATTTCCATGCATTTAAAGGACAGTTTACAGGAGAGAATTTGATACCAAAACAACAACTCAAGATTTTTTCAGAGTTTAACATGAGAAATCTGAAATAGTCTTTAAATTTATGCTAATAATACAGGTGGTGCAAAAATATAAATTAACGTTTTTTTTAAACAAATGAAATGTTGAATGTTTGTGTTACTTGACTTAATTATCGTTTCTTCATTGAAGAAAAATTAATATAAATGTTAGGTCTTAATAAATAAGTTTCCCGTCATGCATGCACATCTTTATAACAGCGTTCACTATGGCCAGCTATTTGCAGTCGATTGTTACAAAGGTTTACCCGCCGTGATGTTGCTGGAATATTGCTAAAAGCGGCGTAAAACCAAACTAAGTCAGTACAAAGGTTTATAATTTGTTTGTGAGTTCGAATCCCCACATGGGTACAATGAGTGAAGCCCATTTATGGTGTCCCCCGCCGTGATATTGCTGGAATATTGCTAAAAGCGGCGTAAAACCAAACTCAGTCAGTCAGTCAGTTGTGCTTGAGAAAGACATAGGTCAGCCTTTTGTTAGTTTAGAAAGGGTTTATTACAGAACTTGTAGAGTTGTTGGTATGTATTACCAACAAGTTTACAACATTGTAAACAAATCAGACAAGACAGGGACAGTCTCAAAAGCAAAACTGGGAAGCTATACCAGTGACTTCGTTAAATCTTTGGCCAATGTTCACAACTGAATTAAATTGACCGAATTACATCCATATTTTTGCAAAGAAATATACTAATGACATGCAAAACATTTAATAAAACGTTGTACATTTCTACAATCAATCGATAAAATAACACAAGTGATGGGATTCTTTCTCATGCACAATAATTCGTATGTTTATTTAAACACACACACACACATAACGTTCCACTACCCCTTATTTTTCTAAGTTTTTGATATTTTCATATGTAAAAACACATTTTAGGGCATGTCTCAAAATTTATTCCCTCGGTCTACATCAGGTAGATGTTTTTTTAAAGTGATATTTGTTATTTAAGTAACTTAATATCTCTGATTTTTACATAAAAGTCAAAAAGCATTTTTCCAGCATTTCCGACAGTACTTTAAAGGTTCTGGTACTTGGCCTTTTTCGGTGGGAGCTTCTGTCCTGCCTGGTACAGCACCATCCGTATTTCGTTCAGTTTCTGCTCGTCACGAAGGAGCTTTGCCATCTCGAAACTGTTGGGATGGGCCTTGCCTATAATTTCCTTTATCCTGTGGTGCCATCCCTCCAGGTGTATTTGTGCGGGGACCGACGGCTCCATGATGGTTCCTGGAGGGCAGGTCGCCTTCGATCCACTGCGTAGTGATGTAGTCTGTCAACTCGAGACATCTGTGATCTGGAGGCATGTCTGCAAGGGCCTGGAGCCACACTTCTTCAAGATAGAAATATGAATATAAATATTTTTCTATGAATGTGATGCCTTGTCTTAATACTTTCATAACAGATGATAGATGATAGAACGTAATTTAAATAAAAATGAAAAGCATACATACATCTTCCAGTGGTATCAGGGGTAAGACAGCACAGCGTCTGACAAGTCTGGTGACTTCGGGATCGACGTTGTGTATGGACTGGAGACAGACGTTCTGTGCTTTCCTCCATACACATTGTATGAAATTCTATTCTTTGTTCGAATAACGCTACCCCCTCTTTTTTCTTTAGTTTCTAACGTAAAGTACTATAAATAGAGTTATCTCCCTTCCCCTAGAGCACATGTTCTATGAACTTGAGCGAGAAGCTCAGCTGCTGTTCGAACCTCCTGAACCTGCCATTGGCTCCGCCAACGCACACAAAAAATCTTTCAATGTGGTGTAAAGTCATTTTCAAATTTTCAAAAGGGGGGTTCGAACACACACCCCAACCCCCCCTCTCTGGATCCGCCAATGCAAGCGACATTAATAAACATGAATGTTACCGTGTCTTGTTTGAAGAAAGGAAAGTTACACCACATCCATACCTTCAAGTTCTCTCACGAACAAAAAGTTTATTAATGGTACTTTGAGCTCGGAAACTCGCCGCGTGTTGGTGTTATTTATAGTAACATGACCACGAATGTAACCTCGCCATGTCACAACCAATACAAGTTATCCAGCACCGAAATGTGAACGTCTTTTATCAAGTTACGGAATGCTGAACTCCATAAACTGGGCTTTCCGTGAACTTTTGATGTAAATGAACATTTTTGTGCATAATGAGCGACAGAAAACATAGCGACATTCGGGCATTACCGGTACCCGATGTTCGACCCAAACGTTCGACGCAAGGGATTCCACCCGTGAGATATGGTTATGATGATGATATGCCCCTAAATAGACATCGTGTAAGAACCAGGTCTCCATGCTGATCTTGTTAAACAGTATAATCTACCAAAGTCAACTAAGCCATCAAGCATCAAGTCTATTCCTAAACCTATCAAGAAAACTTGTGCTAACGCTAAATCTGATACAACTTTTCCAAGTATCCATTCAGAACTTGATAAATTGTTTGAGGCAACTAAGCCATCAAGTGTAAAGTCTCATCCTAAAACAGGTACAAGTAGGACAAGTAAGGAATACAAAGACAAGTTAAAGTTAAACTTACAAGCAAAAGCAGCAAAGTTAAAAGCTTTACATGCTAAACAAAAGGCACAGGTTGATATTCAGTTAGCTACAGTCCAAGCCCAACATGAAACTGAAATGGCAGATCTAGAAGCCCAAGTATTGCAGAATATGGTCATGAGTTCTCAACACACAGACATTAATTCAGAAAGTAACTCATGTAATAAATCTAAGGCTGTTCATGACTGGATAGAAACACAAGTGAACCAATATTACGCACCACAAGACATGCAATCAGTGAGTGACCGAGGTGACAGATATGAAATCACAAAACTCTGAAGCACATTCATAAGTCGGTGAAGAAAGAACACAAAAACAATTCAAAGCAGAAAAACAAGCACAAACTAGAGACAGACAGCAGGTTTAAGTGAGACATGGACCACAAACACAACCTGGATATAATCACAAGCACAACCTGGATATGGACCACAAGCACAATCTGGATATGGACCACAAGCACAATCTGGATATGGACCACAAGCACAATCTGGACATGGACCACAAGCACAACCTGGATATGGATCACAAGCACAACCTGGATATGGACCACAAGCACAATCTGGATATGGACCACAAGCACAACCTCGATATGGACCACAAGCACAATCTGGATATGGACCACAAGCACAACCTGGATATGGATCACAAGCACAACCTGGATATGGACCACAAGCACAACCTGGATATGGACCACAAGCACAACCTCGATATGGATCACAAGCACAATCTAGATATGGACCACAAGCACAACCTGGAGACAGTTCACAAGCACAAACAAGAGACAGTCCTCAAGCACAAACAAGAAACCGACCACAAGCACTAACAAGAGACAGACCACAAAAACAAGCACAACCAACAAGGGTACGCAATGGCTGCATAGACTCTTGGATAGATGAACTGGTCATAGGCGAAGAAACACAGCTTCAGTGGGAAAATACGCCAGTCACAGAACAGATTACTCATGCACTGATAAAGGTTGAAAGCGACAGAGACCTACCAAGAGTTGACATTCCTAGGTTTAACGGAAGTGCTTTACAATGGCCCAAGTTCATTGAGCAATTCTATTATCAAATCAATTCAAGACCAGGAATCAATGACTCACGACGTATGGACATTCTTCAATCTCACCTAGAAGGTGAAGCGAAACAGCTTGTCGAAGGTCTTGGGTACCGTGGTAGACATTATGCACTTGCTATGAAGGAACTTAAACGCTCGTTTGGTCACAGAATGAAAGCCGCAAGAGCTTTTATCGAGAAGATAACCAATGGCCCAGTTCTCAACTCTAATGATGCCCAAGCAATGAGAAAACTCTACATTTCACTGAGGGATTGCATAACCACATTACAGTTGTTGAACTATGAATCCAACTTGTCGAGTTGCGAGATTGTTCTGAAAGTAGCCAGACGTTTACCTGCGGACAAGGTGGGCAGATGGAATGAACATGTCAGAGTACTTGCGGCAACCCATGATCATACTTTGATTGACTTGTTTGATTGGATGCGAGACAGAGTTGAAGCGGATTCCAATCCATTCGCCATTTCTCAGTCGAGGCATGAAGATAAACTGGGCACAGTTTATAACATGAATGAAAATACTCAAAGCAAGAAAACTCCAAACTATGGAATGCCACACATCACAGTGTGTGTAGTGGAAGAAGCATCCTTTCAACGTTGCAGCTGGAAATACGGACAGGACCGCAGAATTGGAAGCCGACTCAAAATCCATCTGTAAAATAAGAATTAAATAAATAAGTGTTAATGTCATTTTATCACGACGTTATGGTGAAGTAATTTCGTTATGTGATCAAGATATTATTGTAATATCATTACCTGAACAATCTGTGGTTGCAACTGGAGACCTGCATTGGTGCAGCATCCCTCAGGAGTCTAAAAGCACGGGTGTAGGTCTTTCTGGTCTTGTTGGGCAGCAGAAAGAATACCAGTGGAAACATCTGATCTGCAACCTTGGCGGGAATCGTATAGAGTTGGAGAAAGAGATTAAGGCATACATAAAGAAGTCCCATCACCGTAAATGAAATCAGTTTCGCAGAGATGTTCAAGATTCTTCCTGGTGGTGAAACCTTATATTTTGTCATCATCGCCGTCATCGATGCAAAGGAAGCGGTCGCCTGCAAAGGTGGGAAGACTGTACGTCTGGCCTTGTACAGCTGGTTCTTGACGCTGTCAAAGGATGGCATGGACTCGATGGCTGAGGTGTTGTCTTCAGTCCAGGGACTAGGCTTAACGGTTCCTCGTTGTAAAGGGAAGGCATTGGTGTCAGTGATGTCTTGGCCTTTAACTTGATTTAAACGTATTTTTTCCAAAAGAATATGGTTTGGTAAACAAGCAGAACCTTGCTTATACGAATACCTCACCAGTACATATGTCATTTAAACAAAATACACAAGAACTGGATACACACGACGACACATTAAACCACATATATGTGAGTTGTAGGTGCTTATCAACCTTGAGGCTGCATTTACACTTAATTAATTGTCTAGATATATTTGTCTGGAATAATTTATCAAATCGTTTAGACTTAAAAATGTATTGATGCAGGGACTCTATTATGTTCTTATTGACATCGTTGTTAGCTGGAGGTAGTCCGTATAACACAGCTTGGAGACTATGGCCATTCACATAGACGTAGGTATTATTTCTAACAGCAGTGTATAACTTACATGTAAAAAGATAATGAACAGTATCTTCATCGTGCCATCCACAAGCGCATTCAGGGTTCTTAGAAATGTGTCTATTTACTTTATCCGCATTCAAATCACTACAGACGAGCTTAAGTCGACAGTGTACGCTCTGACAGAATGGACTACCATAATTCAGATCTATGTAATTATTGGATTCATCATTTTTAAGCAGAGATTTGAATTCACCGATTGACTTAGCAGAGATTTAGCGAATACGGAATTATCAGTTAATGAATTCCAAATTTTAATTGTGTCAGGTAGGAACGATTGTTCATATATTTTAGTCCTACAATTGATAGTTTGTAGCTTAGATTTATTACGGAGATTATATTGACTGTTTTCAGAGACAAATTTAGGAACATGGTCACAGAGGTATTCAGAGGTGCGAGATCGTTATTCATCTTGAAAAGATCTATGAGTTTAATGTAGTGCCTTCTTTCTTTTAATGGTTTAGACTTTGTTTCGACATATAACCTGTGATGACTCGTGCCACAAAAAGCGCCGCATGTTGTACGAAGTGCATCTAGATGTAACTGTTCAAGAAAAAGGGATTGGTCATTCCTACAATTATCCCAGATATGATAACAATAGCCAAATATCGACATCACAAACGATTTGTACATGGTTTCTAGCGCATTTCTGGAGAAGCGATATTTAACACTTCGGAGACAGTTTATCATGGGGCTAACAATATCTTAGATATGACTTTTCCATCCACCATGGCTCTGTAGAGTTATGCCTAGGTGTTTATGACTTTCCATTTCTCGTACCGGGGTTTGGTTAATGTTCCAGGTCGGATCCTATCAGTTTTATGTTTACGAGAGAAATTGATTATTTCGGTTTTATCAGGGTTGAAGTTATAGTCCGTTTGGGTTCAGATGAGAACGATGAATGATAAAATATCTCGAAATAGGGATAAGTGCACAAAACATAAATAAGACACATTGTCCTGAAACCTGTACCCAACAGGATCTGAAATCTGACGTTTTTGATCGATCGCGGAAAAAGTTGTTTTAGAAAACCATCATGTAAAATTGTGCTTTTTTCACGCTTCACAACGAGGGATGCAAACGGCTGGTTTTGCTGTTCGTAGGGTGTTTGAAGAAGACGCAATTGATGCATAGCAGTACGATATTACATTCTAACATTTATTAGCACAGAGATTTCAAAATGTGTAGCCTTATTAAACAGTTGTTGTACAGATATAATGTGGTTAAAGATACACAGCCATCGTTCATTGCACGTGTTATATTATGGTGGTGTATATTTTTCACCTGTGAACTCCAGTGATTTTGCTAATGAACCAATATTCACTATTCTGGAAGATAATATTACAAAGTTTTCATCAAAGGATTCTGACTGTCAAATTATTATCCAAGGAGACTTTAATGGACGAACTGGTAGTGATGTGTATTCCGATATCATAATTTGCGATGACCCTACCTATTTACCAATTGATGAGGACATAAGCTACCAGTCTGATGATGGGATTGAGCCACGTGTATCCCAGGATCGTGTCATCAACAAACGTTGACATCAACTCTTGACTTTTTGTAAAACTACAGGACTTATCATTTGTAATGGTCGTTTGTTCAACGATAAGGGTATTGGCAAATTACGTGCTTTGCAAATAATGGACAAAGTACTGTAGATTATGTTCCTTGTACCGAAAATGCCTTAGAACTGTTTAACAGTTTTGATATTGCTGATGAAGTGGAATCTTCTCATCTACCTATAGTTTATTCTTTTTCCGTTAACACTGAGAGTTCCAAACCCTGTCACTTGTGAAGATAATATTGTTCCTAAGGTTAAGTTCGTTTTGGAAAATGACACTAATAGTAATGATATTTATGTTGGAAAAAATTGGGACAAAGTTAGGCCTGAAGATATTAATCTGTTCTACTCGTTGGTGGATCATTGTGAAATATCCCAAGCCCTGAGTTTGTTTCATTCTATAATGCAGTCGTGTGCTGAGCATTGTAAGAAGGTTGTCCCTTCAGGTGAATCAGGTGATACCAGGGTAGGTAACTGGTTTGATAGAGAATGCATTGAAGCTCGTTGAGAGGCTCGTCGTTTTCTCCGTGCATTTCATGCAAGTAACAGTTTCAGTGATAAACAACGGTACATCGATGCGTGGAAGTTTTATCAGCAGCTTTGTTTATCGAAAATGTCTTGTCAGTTTCAAGAGTATGTTGAAAAACTAAATAAAGCATTGTGTACGAGGGATAATAAATCATTCTGGGCAATCGTTATCCAGAAACGTGCCTTTAAATTTAGCAAGATTAAAGCTTCCGAGTGGGTTGATTATTTTGACTGTAGACCAGGAATATCTTGATTGGGAAATATCCATGCAGGAAGTTGTCGACGCTGTAGAGAGTATGCAGTCAGGTAAAGCGCCGGGTTTTAGTGGGATAAGTATAGAGTTCTTCAAAAATGCTCCAGTCAGTTGCTTCAAAATGTTGCAGTTTCTGTTTAATGCCATACTATCTTCAGGGGCATACCCGTCAGCCTGAACTCTAGGTGTTATTATTCCTCTGCATAAAAAGGGCAGTGTAGATATACCTTCTAACTATAGACCGATTACACTTTTGGAAGTTTCAGGAAATATTTGCTAAAGTCATTAATAGCAGGTTGTATGCATTGGCTCAGCAAGAAGAATTGTTCACCCCAGAGCAAGCTGGTGTTAGACATGGTTTCCAAACAGCTGATAATATTTGTATTCTTCATACAGTCGTCAATAAATACTTATCATTATATAAGGGACGGCTATACTGTGCTTTTGTCGATTTAAAGGCTGCGTTCGATTCTGTTGACAGAAATAGTTTACGATAGAAGCTGTGGCTTGGAAATGTTAAAGGAAAGACGTTCTCTGTGCTTAAAAATATGTACCAAAATGTAAAGTCATGTGTCTCACTTAAAACAGGCTACACCTCTTTCTTTGAATGCATGTATGGAGTACGCCAAGGATGTCAACTATGTCCATTTTGTTCTCCTTTTTTATCAATGATCTAGTTGAATATTTGTCTGCTGATAAGCAGATGTGTATCGATTTATATTTTATTGAACTGTTTATTCTGCTGTTCGCCGATGACATTGTTCTATTTGATGGCACAGTTCTA